CATCATAGAGATACAATAAGGAGAAGAAAGAGAGCAAGGAATAGAGAACCTGTTTAAAGAAATAATGACAGAAAACTTCCCTAACCAGGTGAAGGAAAAATTCACACAAGTTCAGGAAGCACAAGAGTCCCAATCAAGATAAACCCAGAGACCTACACCAAGACACATCATGATTAAAATGACAAACATTAAAAACAAAGAAGAATCTTAAAGGCTGCAAGAGAGAGACAGAAAGTTACCTACAAGGGAGCTCCCATTAAACTGTCAGCTAATTTCTCAACAAAAACACTTCAGGCCAGAAGGGATTGGCATAAAGTATTCAAAGTAATAAAAAGCAAGGACCTGAATCCAATACCACTCTATCCAGCAAGGCTATCATTTAAAATTGAAGGTGAAATAAAGAGCTTCCCTGACAAAAAAAGGCTAAAAGAGTACATTACCAAACTAGCATTGCAAGAAATGTCATAGGGACTGCTGTAAGAAGAAGAAATCTAGAGAGAGAGGAACATAGGGATAAAGAAAAAATGGCAATAAGTAAGTACCTATCAATAATAAATGTAAATGGATTAAATGATCCAATCTAAAGACATAAAGTAGCTGAATGGATAAGAAAACCTGACCTCTATATATGCTGTCTACAAGAGACCCACCTCAGAACAAGACTCACACACTGAAAGAGAAGGGATGGAAAAAATATTCCATGCAAACGCAAATGAAAAAAAGCTGGAATAGCAATACTCATATCTGACAAAATAGACTTCAAAACAAAGGCCATAAAAAATACAAAGAAGGTCACTACATAATACAAAAGGTATCAATCCAACGAGAAAATATAACCCTGGTCAACATATATGCACATAATATAGGAGCACCTAAATATACAAAAAACCCTTGGTGGACTTTAAGGGAGAAATGATGGCAATACAGTCATACTAGGGGACTTTAACACCCCACTGACATCACTGGATAGATCTTCTAGACAAAAAATCAACAAGGAAACAGTGGCCTTAAAGGACACACTAGATCAGGTGGATTTAATTGATATTTACAAAACATTTCACCTCAGAGCTGCAGAATATACATTCTTCTCAAGTGTACATGGGACATTCTCAAAGATAGATCATATGTTAGGACACAAAATAAGTCTTAAGAAATTCAAGAAGATTGAAATAATATCAAACCTCTTCTCGGATCACCACAGCATGAAACTAGAAATCAACTATAATTTTTTTAAAAAACCTCAAAAACATTCAAACACATGGAGGCTAAATAGCATGTTATTAAACAATGAATGGGTTACCAATGAGATCAAGGAAGAAACAAAAATCTTCCTGGAAACAAATGAAAATGAACCAACAAGAACTCCAAATCTATGGGACACAGTGAAAGCAGTCCTGAGAGGGAAGTTCACAGCATTACAGGCCTACCTCAAGAAGCAAGAAAAAGCTCAAATAAACAATTTAACTCTACAACTAAAAGAATTAGAAAAAGAACAAGAGGAGCCAAGTGTAAGTAGAAGGAAGGAAATAATAAAGATCAGAGCAGAAATAAATGACAGGGATTACAAAAACAATACAAAAGATCAATGAAACCAAGTGCTGGTTATTTAAAAAGATAAACAATAGGGTCAAATAATATTTGACAAAGGATGCAATGGAGTAAATTGTGTTCAATAAATGGTGCTAGGAAAATTGGACAGGTACATGGAAAAAAATGAAACTAGACCACCAACTAACATCATACACAAGATTAAACTCAAAATGGATAAAAGACTTAAATGTAAGTCACAAAACCATAAAAATCCTAGATGAAAGCATAGGCAGTAAAATCTCAGACATCTCACGCAGCAGTATATTAACTGATAAGACTCCTAGGGCAAGAGAAGCAAAGGGGAAAACAAACAAATGGGACTACATCAAACTAAAAACTTTGGCACAGCAAAAGGAGCCACCAACAAAATGAAGAAAAACAACAACAACACTGTATGGGAGAACATATTCACCAAGGATACATCTGATGAAGGGTTAATTTCCAAAATAAGCAAAGAACTCATACCACTCAACACCAGGAAGACCAACAATCCAATTTAAAAATGGAAAAAGGCCCCGAATAGACACTTCTCCAAAGAGGACATACAGATAGCCAAGAGACATATGAAAAAAATGCTCAACGTCACTAATCATCAGAGAGATGCAAATTAAAACCACAATGAGGTATCACTTCCCACCTGTCAGAATGGCTGCCATCAACAAATCAACAAACAAAGACATGTGCTGGCGAGGGTGTGGAGAAAGGGGAACCCTGGTACACTGCTGGTGGGAATGCAGACTGGTGCAGCCACTATGGAAAACAGTATGGAAGTTCTTCAAAAAATTAAAAATGGAGCTGCCTTTTGACCCAGTAATTTCACTTCTGGGAATATATCCTAAGAATCCTGAAACAACAATCAGAACGAATATATGCACCCCTATGTTCATAGCAGCATTATTTACAATAGCTAAGATCTGGTAACAGCCCAAGTGCCCATCAGTAGATGAGTGGATAAAAAAGATATGGTACACTTACACCATGGCATACTATGCAGCTGTAAAAAAGGAGCTCTTACCCTCTGAGGCAGCATGAATGGACCTGGAGAGTATTATGCTAAACAAAATAAGTCAGTTAGAGAAAAACAAATATCACATCATCTGACTTATATGTGGAATCTAATGAATAAAATAAACTGATGAACAAAATAGGTCCAGAGACATGGATGCATGGAACAGAATGACAGTTCTCAGAGGGGATGGGAGTGGAGGGGACAGGAAGAGATTAACCAAGGAACATACATGCATATAGACATAGCTGATGAACACAGTCAATAGTTTGGGGAAGGCCTGAGGTGGGGCAGGGGCTGGGTGGAGAGGAGCAAAGGAAGGAAAAATGGGGGACATCTGTAATACTGTCGACAATAAATTAAAAAACAAAGAAAAAAACAAGTCATTGGTTGATTAGATATCCCTACCATTTGCACAGCTTTACTCTGAGGGAGACTAAAACTTAGTTGAGTGTGGTTAAGAACAGATAAAGTAGCCCCAGCATCTACAATGTAATGTCCCCTTTTTATGGTAATTTTAATCTCTCCAAAACTATTAGTAAGGAGAAGGGAAAACGCCCTCTTACAGTCCTCAGAGGAACCTTATGCTATTTTCCGTTTCTTTTCTCTTTTTAAATCCCATTTCAGATCTTTATAACCCTTCTCAAAGTGACCTGGTTCTCTACAATAAAAACAGACTCCTCTACAGAAGTTTCCCAGCAAACCCTGTTTAGTAATTCTGTTGCTTTTGCTCCCAGAAACCAGTAGGTATATTAATTTTTAAAAAGGCTGCCAAAAATCAGGGGGAGGAAATCAAATAGGAGTGGTTGTTCCCTGAACTATGAGTCTGAGCCCATGAGCAGTGAAGAGAATGGCAGACTCTGGAAAGCCCAGCTTGAGAAACCAGGTCACAAAGGTATCCTGAACGGGATAGACCGTTGGAGAAGTGATAGTTGCCAGAACCCAGTTATAAAGCCCCTATGGCCCAAGGGCTGTGCATGGGGGAAGGAGGGAGGAGGAGAAGAGGCAGAGCTGTGCCCTCAGGAGCTCACAGCAGGCCTGGAAGACAGCATTCAGCCAAAATCCTGTGGGCTCCTACATTGCATGAAATAAAGTTCAGGTTTAGCTGTGAGTCAGCAGATGCTAACATTTCTGTGGATTGCGGAAGGATGGTCAGACCCATCTTCCTGGAAGTGGGGCCATTTAGGCAGGAGGGGGAGGAACCAAGGCCAACAGAGCACTCAGGCCCTCATCCTGGAAGTCCTCATGGGTCTGCCTACTGAATTTGGATGGGAGCCTTTAAGATTTCAAGCCCTGTCCCCTCTGAGTCTTCACTTGTGCTGTTCCCTCTATTGGGAATATTCTTCCTAACCCTCCACCATCCACTCAGCTTATTTCCCTGCCCTCAGATCTTCACTCAAAGGTCACTTCCTTCAGGAACTTCCCCCTCCTTTCTCTGGGACCAAATTCAGTTTCTCTTGGGACATGTCAGGGCTTTATGACCCTCAGACACTTGAGGTCGGTTTACTTACTCCATTTGTTTCCCCTGAACTGTAAAAGCTCACATCCCAGGGCCCAGAACAGTGCTGGCACTTAGTAAGTGTTCAATGAATTTATGTTAAAAATCTAAGTGGATAAATGTCTTTTTTAAAAAAAGCTTGTTGAACAAATGCCTAAGCTGGGTAGGGCCAGGGCCCAGGCTCCCGTGGGATACTGGAAGGACAGAGGTCCTCAAAGTTTCAGGGGTCCTGACCCCCACCCAAGAGTAGAGGCTTGAGAACTGCTCTCTGCTTTCCTCTACATCTTGCCCCCCACCCTACCCCCACCTCCTGCTTGAACGAGGGGGAAAGGAGCTGGTGGGTATGGGGGGCAGCTTCTCAGGGGAGGCAGGGTAGAGAGGTACCCCAACCCTCTGCCCAGGCCCTGTCTTCCTTGCCCTCACCCCACTCCTTGGAAGGAGCAGGAAGCAGGTGGAGTTCTTGCCTACCCATGGGTCTGGTTCATGTTTAAAGGTCTAATCTTCATCTTGTGGGGGGTGAGTTATCTCCTTGTGAAATCAAGTTGGAAAAACAAAAATGTTTTATCAGTGAGACCATGTTGCCTCTTTCATGGAAACCAGAGAGAAGGAAGGAACAGGCTCCCTCCCTGCCTCCATCCTACTAGCCCAGTCTGTCTCCTTGGGTTGCTAAAATGCCAGATTGCCAGACTGGACTTGTGTGAGCATGGGACACTACAGATGTGGTGGGCAAAGGTGTGGGAGCTTTGGGGCAGGCGCGGAAGGCAAGTACTTGTGTTTGAAGTCAGGTGCAGGTTCCTCCTGGCCACACCCCTTGAGGCTGGGAGCCAGTGGAGATGGGGCCTCTTCCCTGGGGGGGAGGTGTCTTTGTTAGGACTGTGGTGTGTTCCTACCACTGAGGCCCAAAGAGGTGGTCTAGAGAGAGCCTGAACACAAAGGAGGATTGGGCTGAACCCCAAGAGCAGGAGGGGCCAGGAGTCCAGCTGGGAGGGTCCAGCAGACGTGCTGAGCCCGCCCAGCAGCCCGCCCACTCTTTCATCTCTGCAACTCCTTCCTCCTTGGCCCTTCCTTGAGCCTGTGTCTGTGGATTGGTCTGGATGGGTTTGAGGAAGGGAAGGAAAGGGGGTCTTTTTGGGCAGCTTGGATTGGACAAAACTTCTTTAAAAATGGCCCTTTGAGCAAAAGCCTGCTGATGGTCAGTCAGACAGATAGACAAGAGCTCAAGGACCCCAAGAGAGCACTACTCTCAAGGGGATAGCTACCTCCTGCAGCTCGAGGCAAGACTGGGCGGGAGGCGACAAGAAAGGACAAGAGAAGTCCTTTCCCCTCCTCCTGTGCCAGCCACCCAGGCCCTCACTCCCAGACTGGCTTTTACCAGAGAGCTAAAAGCAAGAAAGTAACCTTTGGGATTAAAGAGAAACGTTTCTTTGTTTGAGTTTCTTTCTTTTTCCCCCTAAGCCTCTTTTCACATCTATAGTGGCATTTTTCCTCTTGTCTGGGGGCCAGAGGAGAAGAGCCAGAGAATGTCCAGAGCAGCAGGGAACCAGACCTCCCCTGGGGCCACAGAGGACTATTCCTACGGAAGCTGGTACATCGATGAGCCTGAGGGTGGCCAGGAGCTCCAGCCTGAGGGGTAAGTGGAACCCCTGGCTTTGTGGCCAGCAGACTGAGGTGTGGCAGAGATTACTGATGGGAGGTTGGGGAAGACTTGTGCAAGGACTGCTAAAATGGGCTCTGCCACTCATTTGCTGTGTGACCCTTGGCAAAGCACAGCCTCTCTGGGCTTCAGTTTCCTCATCAGTTACATGAGAACAGCCCTTGCCCATGTGTTAAGATACCTGAGGTGGGGACCTGGCCAGCCTAATCACCTAAAAAGCACCTGTGAGGTGTGTTCAAAATAGATTCCTGGACCCCATCCTTAGAATGGTAACTCTGGCTTGTAGCCAGAATGGAGAGTGCTGGGTGAGTGGTTGAGAGGAGTTGGGCCTGCCTCAGAGGGGTTACTGGGCCCTGCGGTGACCATCTGGGTGTGGTGCTAGCATCAGGTTTTCTGGACAGGCTCGGGGGAGGGGGAGGTAGAGAACCAAAGAAGAAAGCCTGGTGGGGAAGTCCTTGAGGAAACAGGCCACCCTGTTTTCTTTGGCTGGCCTCAGAATCTGTGAAGATGAGGAGGCCCTGTTCCTTTCAGCAGGAGTGCTGGGGTCAGCCAGGGGAGGGAGGCTGCCTCAGCGCAGCCCAGTGTGCCCTGAGGTGTCAGGCCACAGCTGCCTTTTCCCAGACCATTTCTATCTTTGTTTAGTCTGGGCACCCTTGTAGGGGAGCTGGGCCTCCTTGTGCCCCCACATGCTGCAAGGATACTTCACCTGTGAGGGCCCAGAGCCCAGCTGCCCCCTTGTTGTTCTGGCCCTGGCCCCATCCCCCACCTCCTTGCTCTATCTGAGGGTTGGGGGAACTGGAAAGGTGAAGCTAGGGGTTGCTGTGCCAGATGTGTGCACATCTGTTCTTCATCAACAAGAAACTGGAGGAGAAATGCTTGTATTATGCTTCCTCAGGGGCTGAGGCTGTGGCCTGGCCAGACTTGAGTTACCAGGCAGGAACAGAGGCCCACCCCAGCCTGGGGGAAGGAGCTGTTTGCAGGACTCTGGGCTCTGACCACAGGGAAAGCAACCTTGCTGTCAGCAAGAGTGTGCCCCAACTTTCCTTCTCTGGCTGACCCTGCTGCATATGTATAGAGTGGGAAGAGCAGCAGAATGGGGAAGGGCCCAGGAGCCCCAAGAAGACACAGACCCTGACCTGGGTTAAGGCCCTAATATGAAGCTGTGACCTTAGGTGCCTCAGGATCTGGTCATTGACTGAGGCCAGGCGCCTGGGGCCAGCTCTGTGGCTGGAGTATATGGCCCTACAATAAAGTTGGTGTGTGGTAGGGACTGGGGGGTCGGGAATACGGCTTCAAATGTGGGTGGCATCTAGAATGTAGAGCTCCCTTCTCCCACTGCAGAGAAGAACCTACTTACTTAGCCAAGCCAAGTCAAACTGCCTGCCTCCTCTCCACCAGCCTCTCAAAGGTGGAAGCATGAAGCAGGTAGCCCAGGGGAATCCCACAGGGTGAACTTGGGCTCACCTCACCCTATGTGAGTCAGACACCCCAGGGAGATGGGGCACCAAAGCTTTGAGGAGCTCTGACAGTGGTCGCCTTCTGTGCCTCTGTGTGCCCCAGCAGGCTTGGGAGTTGGGGTTGGCAGGCACTGCTGACAATGCCTGGGATGAACTCAGTCTCCTGCTCACACTTATCCATGTGCCCCTATGGTGCAGGGACCTGGTAGAAGAGGTCGGGGCGGGGGGTGGAGGGGTGAGTCACATGGGATGGGATGCATCATCTGGGGTCTTCCATGGGCGAGGGATTGATCTATGTGGGCTGAGCTGACCCTTCGATCCCCTATTATGTGCCCAGCTTGACATGTGCCTGTGTGCTATCTACCCGTCATCAATACTGAGCATCCCAGCCAGAGCCTGGAGACACAAATATGCCTGTTGCAGCTGCCAAAGATGTCACTCACCTCCCACGGCTTCAATGGGCTGCCTGGAAGGTGGAATCGGAGGCTTCCCTCACAGACTCCCTAAGTGTGGCCCAGGCCAGGGTCATCTGCAGGCTCTTCTCCTGTGGGTGGGGGAAGCCAGGAAGCAGGGCTCCAGGGCTACTGGGACCTCACCCCCCAGACCTTCACCCAGAGCAGTCAGCCTTTCCCTCTCACCCACAGAGATGTGTTCTGCCCTCCCCTCTGGATGGGGCCCTTTGAGGCTCCCACTCAGAGTTGAATTCTAGAAATAGTTGTCTGGTTCTTCCTCTGTCTCATTGCCCTCACCACACTTCAGTCTGGCCTCTGTCCCTCAGTGTCTAAGACCAAGCCTCAGCTCCTTGGGCTACATTTGACTCCCATGCTCACTCCTTGTCTTGAAATAAGGCCTAAACCCTGGTCATTCCAGAAACTTGCCTCCTTCTGCTCTTCCATGTCAAGGTGTGTGTATTCTCCCTTCTAAATGCCTCTGAGATAGCCTGCCTTTCCACTCCCCAGCGACTAGATGTGCCGAACCATTTGAAAATGCTGGTACTTGACTGTTTCTGATGTAAAGAAATGGCAGTTTCATATGGTTCAACTTAACTTCTCACGTCTCAGTCAGATGCAGTGCTGGAGCCAAGCAATCTCAATTCACATCCTGACTCTGCCACTTTACTAGCTGTGTGATTTGGGCAAGACACTTAGCCTTTTTGAGACTTGGCCTTCTTGTCTACACAAGGGGAATACTAACAGCACACACCTCTTGGGTAATAAATGAGTTAATCCATGGAACAAACAGTGCCTGGCACTTAGTCAATGCTTAATAAGTACTAGTTATTGCTGTTATTTATATTCAAGTCTAACAACAGAAATCTCCTAAAATGGCCCTGGCCTGGTGGCTCTGTTGGTTGGAGCATCATCCATACACCAAAGGGTTGTGGGTTCCATTTTGGTCAGGGCACATACCTAGGTTGTGGGTTCGATCCCCGGTCGGGACACGTATGGTAGGCAACCGATCGATGTTTCTCTCTCACATCGATGTTTCTCTCTCTCTCTTCCTTCCTCACTCTCTAAAATCAATAAAACAAAACAACCAAACATAAACAACACCCCCACCCCCCATATTCTCAGGTGAGGATTTAAAAAAACCCAAAAACTCCTGAAATCCAGAACACTGCCCTGCTTAAACACCCTTAGTGGTTCCCTCCCATGCCTGTTAGAACCTGCCCTCAGCCTGCCCTCTGGGCTACAATCAAGCTGGAAACCTTACCTAGCTCCAGCCACACTACCCACTGCCTGTTACTCTGCTTCTCTGTGCTCTTCCCTCTCCACAGAGCTCCCTTTCCCCTTCTTTGCCTAAAGAGATGCTAACCATCTTTCAAAATTAGAGCAAATACCACTGCCTCTGACACCTTACCCGAAGTTCTCTCCCTCCTCTGCATCCTTTAGCATCTGCTTGTGCCTCTTCCAGGATCAAGCTCCCCACCCTCCCTGAGGTGGTGTTCTCTGCGTCTGTCCCATTCTGTCTCACAGCACAAAACACGGGCCCATGAGCCATCAGCCAAATCTCTGTTGCTCAGACCTCAATCATTTGAGGGTCTGTGAGCCTCAGCCAAACTGAGCTAAGAGGTGGATGGGGAACCCAGATGGTACAAAAAGGGCCAGGGGTTCCCCAAGATAGGGCCTAGAGAGGATCCATAGTGGTTGGTGGGCATTTGGTTTGAGGTAAGTGGGAAAATGGCCAGGGCCTTCCAAGGACAGTTTTATGAGCCCCTGCCTTGGTTAGCTAGTATGGGGGACAAATTTGAGTAGGACCCAGTATGATGAGTAGATGCACACTGAGAGGGCCTAGAAAGGTGGCTCTGAGCTCTTGGGGCTGAGAGGTGTCCTCTCTCACCCAAACCCCCACCCCACATGCTGGGGTAAGGGGCCTCAGAGTTGGAAATGGGGAGTGTAAGGCCTGAGCTCAGACAGCAGAAACCTGATTCCCTACATGACACATGCCCTACCCATGAGTACAGTTCTGCTTTTGGGAAGAGATCAGCTCTGCCCTGGCCAAGAAATTGCATAAAACAAGACTTATTCTGTCTCTCCACCCCAATGACAAACCCGGTGACTAGGTTCTTTTCTACTTCTCACGCTCTGGGATTTTCTGAGAGAAAGCAAGCTCTGGGGAGACTGGGCTATTCCAGAGGAGTCATAGGGCTCTAAGCTCACCCTGCTGACAAGGCCTTGGGGGTCCTCTTTTTCACACAGCAGGAGGGTGCCCAGGTGGTTGGGTGAGCCTCCTGGGCAGGGAAGGCCCAGCTGCAGCATCTTGCTGGCCTTGCCCTCACCGGTGTCCTCCCGGCCTCTAGCTGGGCAGACTCAGAAGTCTCCTCCTCAGGGACCCAGTCCTGTCTGCTCTCTTAAGTCCAGTTCCAGCTCTGAGCTCAGGGCTCTTACCCCTTTCTTTGCCATGACCCAGTTGGGGAAGTAGAAGCCTTTGTTGTGCCCATTGATCTCTTCATCTCCACCATGATCCTTCCTCTGTATTCAGCTATGGAGAGAGCAGGCCCTCTGCCAGGCCATAGAGAGCCCTTGTGGTAATTAGAAACAGGGACCCCCATTTAGATGAATGCAACTAATAGGTACAGTGCTTGATGAGCAGTGTGGCCTGGATTTCAGACCACATTCATTCCCTTGGCTGAGCATCCTTGTGCAGTGTGCAAACTGCCCAGCTGTACGTGGAAGCCCTTAATGAAAGGGAAATGGGAAGAGACATAAATCCTGAAGGACCATGGAAGATCATTCCAGTCAGACACAGACCAAACTCAGATACCAGTAAACGGAGGGCAAATTGTAGGACCAAACACTTGATTGTTTGAATTAGGCAGTATGCGCAGCCACAGTTCTGAAAAGAGGTCTGTGAAGCCTGGAGCAATCAGGAAGGCTTCCTGGAGGAGGGGGAAGTAATCAAGTGGGCCTTGAAGGATAGGAAGGATCTGGGTGAGAAAGAAGAGAGGTTTAGCCCAGCTGGCCCAATCTGTTTCTCCCTAATCTCCCCCCGGGAGCTCCTGGTCTCCTTTAACCTTGGAATCTCAGACTTGGCACACCATAGAAGCATGAGAGCCCTGAAATGACCCTGAGCAGGTGGAACTGGGCAGGTTTGTGTAAGAGAGATCAGAGAGTTGAGAAGGTGGAGCCCCAGTGTAGACGGCCTGAAACCCCAGTCCTGGTGGCATGCCTGGGGGTCCCTACCCAGGCGTGACCCAGTCTTCACTTGATCTGCAGGGTAGTGCCCTCCTGCCACCCCAGTGTGTCACCTGGCCTCCTCCATACCTGCTTGGCTGCGCTTTCGGTGAGTCTAACCTAAGTCCAAACTGGCTTGCAACCTGCTGCCAGCCTGCCTAAGGTGACTTGTGTTCCATGCTGGGGCTGATGAAGGGGGCACCTGGTGGCCCAAATGTGGGAGGGGGTTCTCACAGGGTGGGAATGCAAACCAGGATGCAGGACCAAGTTCAACCTCTCGGATTTTTGTCACCTCTTGGCCAGTCCCCAAGATGCCACATGAATGTGCACAGGGGAGTAAGGGGGTTTCCTGGTGACTGAGGCCAAACCCTCAGATTAGCTCATCAGGGAAAGCTCGGGCACCCCAAGCCCTCCACTGTGCTCTCCTTTCAGATTCTTGTGTTGCTGCTGCTGGCCCTGCTGGTGAGGCGACGCCAGCTCTGGCCCCACTGTGGACACAGCAGGTCCGGGCTGCCCAGGTTGGTGCCATAGCCTGGGCATCCCTACTCAGGGGGCCCAGCTGGGGATGTTATGTACCTAGAAGCCAGATCTGGCCTCAGAAAACTCCCTTTTCTCTCAGCCTGGGGCTCTTCCCATCCCTACCCAGATCTCCAGGTTTGGTCAGGACCACTAAAGGGAGGGGAAGGAACCCACTCAGGTTTACCTGCTACTGTTCCAAACCCCAAGAAGCCATGAACCCAACAGGGTCCAGCTCCAAGACATACTTCATCAGGTCGTTCATGGTCTGGACAGGCCATGACCACTCCACACCATTGTGACCCTAGTTTCCCCTGAGGATTTCTCCTGGACCCTGATGCTAAAGGCAGATTTCTGAGGGACTTTCTCCCCCTGACTCTTCAGTGCTGCAAGCCCAGAGCATGGGAGAGGAATGACCCTCAAGAGATTACCCTGAGGAGACAGGACTGGTCAGGCTTGTGTGGAAGAGACCAAAGAGTTGGGGGAGGTGGAGCCCCAGTGTAGGTGACCTTGCATCTCAAGCTAGGGTTGCACACCAAGGTGGGTCCTAAATTCTGGTGTTGTGGGGAACTAGGGTTTCTGCTCTGACTGGGGAAGGATTTGGGATAGTGAAGCAGGATGGAACTGTTCGGGCATGAGAGCAAGATGGACCATTGAAAGAGGGTCTTTCTGGCCTGCCCTGAGCCCAGAGAAGTGACACGTGGGACAGCTATGTCCTCTGTATGCCCTCTGCCCCAAAGCCACACTCGGGCCAGGGCGTTGGCCATTGTGCAAGGATGTTGTGACTCTCTGAGCTCTCTGAAGGTCTGCCAGCCCAGACAGAGCAATTAGTGTGGAGGCAGCTGTTTCCTGGATTGTCCAGGGTGGGTGGAGGGAGCTGTGCTCAGACGTGTGTGTGTGTGTGTGTGTGTGTGTGTGTGTGTGTGTGTGTGTGTGATGTTGTTGTGTTGGAGGGGATGTTCCCAAGTCACTTTGCCACCGGTCCCAGAGCTTGGTGCATAGAAGGTGTTTGTGGAGTGAATGGATGAAGGGCTGCCTTTTTCCTGTTTGGAAAGTGGGCTGGAAAGTGGGAGTGACTCTACTTCCCCAGTTTGTGGAACATGGCCTGAGGTAATGTGAGTACAGAGCCTGAGCAACTCCCTCCTGTTCTGTGCCTGCCCCTGCACCAGCCCAGTGGATTTCTTGACTGTGGATGGGCCCTGGACTGTGCCCGTTGCTGTCTTCATGGTCCTCTTCAGCTCCTTATGTCTGCTGCTCCTGGCTGAGGCCCCGCTGCCCTTCCTCACCCTGGCTTCACCATCCAGCCGAGGTACCCAGTGCAGCTGAGGCCTGGGCCTGGATTGATGGGATGGGTTGGGGTGGGAATCTGGACCATCAGGTCAGGGTTCTTCTATAGTGAACCAAGTTGCTTCCCACTTCAATCATGAGCCCTTGCCAAGAAGACACTGTCCTCTTACTCTTGCCACTGTCCCTCCACAATGCCTGAAGCCTCCCTTTGTGGGTCCCAGCCATTGGGTCAATACTGCCCTCTTTGCTTCCTCTGTTCTTATGCAAACCCCACCCCCAGGAGGGAGGGAACTCTCTTGTTCATAGGTGCAGTCTGAGTCCCCCAGACAGCCCAGCCCCCTGTGAAAATGAAAGAGGGTGGGTGGGGCACAGGGAGGGGTCCAGGAGAATTGAGCTAAGCTCAAGGAGGTGATGGTAACAAGTACAGCTGCCATCCAGAGGGGCCTCTGTCCTGTGACATGACCTCCTTAGATCATCCGACCCTCACAGTGACTCCACAAAATGTGGATATTAGCCCCACTCTATAGTGAAGGATGCTGAGGGTCAGAGAAGGAGACAATAATAAAGTAGTAGCTTGTATATTTAGTACTAACTTAGACACCATGCTGAGCACTGTATGTAGACTTTCTTATTTTGTCTTTGCTAATTTAGTACTATTATTTCCATTTTACAGATGGGGAAACTGAGGCTCCAACAGGTAACTGGCTCAAGATCACAGAGCTGATACTAGTCAGAGTCTGGATTTGAACACAGGGCTCTTGCCTGCTGAACCAGCTGAGGGACTTGGAAGATGGAGGCATGAGAAAGGCCTGGGTGGACTGGATTCAACCCACACCTGCCCCTTCATCATTTTCTCTCTGTCCATCTTGCTTTCTAGGGCCCTGGAAGATGCTGGCTCTGCTCTATTACCCTGCCTTCTACTACTCCTTGGCTGCCTGTGCCACAGTCAGGCATGAGGCTTCACACCTGCTCGGCAGCGCACTGTCCTGGGCTCATTTTGGGGTCCAGGTCTGGCAGAGGGCAGAGTGTCCCCAGGTGCCCAAGGTAACCACTGATTCATGATGGCTTGGGACAGAGGGCTTGGAGGAGCTGCTTACACCAGCATGGCTCCTTTCATCTCTGTTTGTATGCTGGGCTTTCCTGCCACCTTCCACTGTAGACAGGATTCCACTTTGTTAAAACATGCTGTTCTACGCAGCCCCTCTATAGGACAAGGCACTGGGCCAGCCCTCAGGGGCTTCTAGTCTGGAGGGGGTAGGGAGGAGACAGGGGGAGAGGAAATGGAAAAGGAAGCCCGAAATCCCCCCATTGTTGATCCCCTAGCCTTCTGTTGGCCAGGCTGGAGTGGGAGTGAAGACAGATGGAGGATGGCAAGCACTGAGGAGGGGGATGGTGTCAGAGGGCTAAAAAGAGAATTCCAAAACCTTACCAGTTCACTTGCTATTGGCTGAAGATATGAAGCTGCCCAGTTTAGAGCTCAAAGGGTGGAGCTGTAGGATTAGGAGTTGGACAACCCATGTTTGAATCCAGCTTCATACACTCATTCACTCATCCATTCATTTATTTAACAAACATATTTGAAGCACATAGTCTATACCAGGGACATTTCCAGACACTAGAATACAGCTGTGAACAAGGCACACAAGGTCCCTGGCATCACAAGAACTGCTATTTCAGAAGGGGAGACATAATAAACAAACAAACAAATGCACAAAAATGATGCCATGTGGTGCTAAGTGCTTTGAGGAAACCATGTCACCTTCCTGAGACTCCCCTGTAAGTGGAGTCGATATTGCCAATCCCTCAGGGTAGAGGTGGAGATTAGCCAGTTTCTCTGAGAGCAAGGACTTGATTGGTCTCTTTCACTCCCCAGAACCTGGTACATACTAAGCTCTCCATAAAAAGGCATTGACTAGCTTATATATGAATATATGAGGGGCCCAGCCCCGAGACTTCGGGGACAAAGACCTCAGTGCTAGGACGTGGGGCATGTACCTCCCTGATGACCAGGTTGCAAACTGTGCATAGACAAAATTAGGCCTTTGTCTACTTTTCAGGGACCTGTGTCCAACGTGCCAGGAATGTAGGAACACAGAAAGTGGATGTCTCTGTTTCAAGCCCCACTGTAGCCCCCTGGGTGGGGAGGAGAGGGTTACATAACCTCCTCCTTTTGAAAGGCTCCTCCAAGGGCCATGGCGTCCAAGAGCCTGGGGAAGGGGCAGGCATCTTTGCAGGGCCTGAGAGGTGAAGTGGGAGTGACTGTTCTGAGTACCCTGCCCTGGTTGGGGGTGGGTGGTGGTAATAGAACCAGAAGCCTTCCCATGGCACTCAGACTACCCTCAGAGTCCTGGGTGAGGTTGGAAGGGAAATGGATCCTGGCCTTCAGTTGTGGGTGGGAAGGCAGAAAGTACATGTGTCTGGTGTGTGTCTGTCCATCCAGATCTACAGGTACTACTCCCTGTTGGCCTCTATGCCTCTCCTTTTGGGCCTCGGATTCCTGAGCCTTTGGTACCCGGTGCAGCTAGTGAGAAGCTTCAGCCACAGGACAGGAGCAGGCTCGGAGGTAAAGGGGCTGGGCTCCCCTGTCTGTTGGTCCCCTATATGTGGTGATGCTTGGCGGAGGACCCAGCAAGTAGCAGGTCTCAGAAAAGGTTTGCTGAGTTGCCAAGTAACTGATTAGCCCTCTCTCCCCAGGCAAAGGCTAGACCAGGCCCTGGAATAGCACCCAGGGTACCCAGGGCACCAAGCTATGTGCACAGTAGGGACTCAACAAAGGAGAACTTGGCCAGAGGCAGTAAGTCATAGCTCTGGTTCTGAACCACTGGGGTCCAAATGGAGACATGAGACAGGTCAGGAGCCTTGTCTCCGCTAGGAGCTCTGCAGAGGCTAACATGATCCAGGAAGCACTCAGGGCAGAATCACATAATGAATCAATTCTCAGTTGGCTAATGTCAGGTAAAGGGGAGGGCTTCCTGGAGGAGGTAGACTTGAGAAGGGGCCTGAAGGACAGACAGGATCTGGAGTGGGGAGAGAATAAGGAGAAGGCATTGCAGGCACAGGAAAGAGCATGAGTAAAGGGGCAGAGATGGGTTGGGTCTGTTTGGTTCATGCCTAATTTGCAGCACACAGCAGGTCTTAGCACATAATAAACATTAAATATTTCTGAAGTTTTGGGTAGATGGATGGGCACATCGTGTCAAGAGAGAAGTCTTACAAGATATGGTAGTCTTATTAAGAAGACTTCTACACACCTATCAAGCACCGGGCCAGGGGCTTGGGGCTGTGCCCTCAGAGCTGACTCAGAGCTGGGTGCCTGACACCCAGGAGCTCCCAGTATGCTGGGGAAGATGGTTGCGCAGCACATGTTTACAGCAAGGTGAAAAGTGCAACAGGGGCTCATCCAAGTGCACGGGAGCGCAGGTGGAGGCGGGGTCAAGTACTCTTCCTGGTGAGAGAGGAGGAAGAGGGTATTGCTCACAGAAGCCCTTGAGAAAGGCTGAGGACACAGAGGCAAAAGGCTGGTTATCCTTGAGCTGGGAAAGGTGAAGGAAAGGCTTCAAGGATGGCATCTAGGACAGAGAGCAGGTAGGTGGTGGTTCCAGTTGCTCACACATGGAACCCTGGATGAAAGCAGTTCAGGGGACCATGCGTGAGAGTCTGGATCTTAAGGGTCTGGTGGGCAGCTGGACCATGGCCTGGAGCTCAGGACAGGGGCTGGGACTGAAGCCCAAGAAGGAGTGAGGTCCCCAAGGAGAAATGGAGGATGAGGGGAGTAGAGGCCAGATTGGGCTCAGGTTCTCAGGGGCCACCCTGGGTCCCCGTGGGCTCACCTGGCTGGGTTTGGTTTTCATATAGCAGCAGCAGAGTTCTGAGATTTGTCACTACTCTGAGATTTGTCGCTCTTTATACTCTAGGGAAGCCTGTTGTCCCCTCATTCTTACAGCTGGCTCAGAAGAGGGGAGCAGCTCCCTAGGATACACAGTGCACCAAGCACAGCTCTGCCTCCCAGAACCCCCTCTCCTCTTCCAGGCATCTTCTCTGCCTCGCCTCTCCCCTTATTGCATGCCTTTCCTCTTGAGGAGACTTGGGAGAAAGAAAATCCTCTTTGGCCCTTAATCAAAGAGGTTTAAGCCTCAAAGGACACAGTCAAGCTTTGAGCTGACTCACACCTGTCCTGGATCCCAGGGTTGCTATGGCAACAGGTGACAATGGCCTATATTCTAATAAGGGGGGCAGGGACCCTGTTCCCATGGGTCTCTGCCACTCAACAGTCAGCTTAAGGCCTGGAATGTGGCTTAGACAAATCCTGTCACCCTTGTGATCTCCCTTGAGTAGAAGGAGAAGCCTGGGGCATCTGACCTGGAATGGCCCCATCCTGTGTCCTGCTCAGGGATGTGCCCATGGGACCTAGGCTCCCTTTGCCCATTCTCAGTTAGCAGAGACCAGAAGGCCAAGAGGGAAACAATGATGAGAAGGTTGGAGATAGACCTTAGGAAGAACTTCCCAGCACTGAGTGTTCTTAGATAGGAGACCAATTAATTTTGTATTTGGGGAGGAAGAAAGGGCAGTGTTGGGCGATATGGGCCTCATCCCACAGGTTGGCCCTTCCCTGCACTCTACCACAACCAAGAGGTTTTTATGGAGCACCTCCTGGGTACCCACTGTGGTACCCTGAGCCAGGGTCCCAGGGACGGCTTGAGGCGGGTCTCATCTGTCTCTCCCCACAGAGGCTGCAGAGCAGCTATGCTGAGGAATATCTGAGGACCCTCCTTTCCCTGAAGAAGCTGAGAAACAGGTGAGGTTCTAGGCATACCCTCTGGGCCAGTGGGCAGGACTGGCTAGGCAGGCTTATTTGGGAGGCTGGCACTGGGCAGGCTGGTGAGGCAGAGATGAGGAATGAACCAAATTCGGGGCTCAGGGCAGGGGCTTCCCCTGAGTTTCCTCCATGCCCTGGGTATTTCTGCAGCTGCCACACATCCAAGTATGGCTTCCTGTCCCAGGCCTGGATCTGCTTCAGACACTATGTCTACATTCCACAGCAAGGTATGGAGTGGGGGGCTGAGATCCTGAGTGACAGGTGGCCTCCCCCTTCCTGTGCACAAAGCAGCCATGGTGGGAGGTCAGCTCCTGTCACCCCCACAACTCTGTCATCAGGAAGAACAACCCGCAACTTGGGACAGAGGAAGCCCCTGGCCTGGCCTGGCCTTGGTGGTCCAGAGTCCTATGAACCTCGGCCCTTTTCCTGGGCCCCTGGGAAGGTGTGGGAACTCCTGGGCCTGGTTGGTGCTAGGCTCACCATGCCCCTCTTTTTGGGGACTGCAGGATTCCGACTCCCACTGACACTCGTGCTTTCAGCCACCCTGACAGGGACTGCCATCTACCAGGTATGTTCTGCCTCTGCAGTGCCATTTGCCTCCAGACTCCCAAGCCTGGATGGCTCAGATCCTGCTCTCCGAAAGCGTGGCCCACAATCCTGTCCAGCTGCTTCTAATGTCTTGGGAACACTGGCCTCTTCAGAGGGAGGAGGTGTTAACTCTTGTTGGGCTCACATAGAGTCAGAGCATGAGTTTTGGAGTCACATAAACAAGGGTTTAAATCCTAGCTTCATTATTTACCTACTGTGTGACCTTGCACAAGTTAGTCAACATCCTTAAACCCATTAGCACAGCTAAAGATGGAGGAAATTACCTTCCTCTTTGGGAATTTGGGAAGACTTAGTGAAATAACACGTTTTTGATAAATTCCCACCAATCCTAACCCCCCCCCCC